CTTCAGTTTGATTATATGAGCTACGAGAGGCGAGAGGTGAGGCTTGATTTGGTCAAGGATCTATTTGTTTTCTTTGCCATCCAAAAGCATCACTATTGTCCATCTTTCACTTCCATAAAGAACCACGGAAAAGACCACAGTCTGGGCAAAAGCAGCCGGTTTAATTCTAAACAGAATTAAAAAGAGGTTGTGAAATGGTCATGTGAAAATGAATTGTGACTTCTGTAGTAGAGAAATTCACACAAACGTCATCAGTGGACCGCAGGGGGAAAATGTTGGATTTGGACCAGTTCAGTGGATTTCGCAAGATCACTGCATAGTTAAATGGTCCAGATGTAATCAAGGTCATTCTGAGTGGTCTGGTGTGAAATTCTATTCTAGAGAAACTTACTGAGTCAGAACTGTTCAGAGCGGTGGTGATGGAAACCACACATGTGAAGCAGTCAGTGCCTCTGAAAATAGAAAATTATTAAACAAACTGGTTATCGATGCACTGCCTGATTCCTGAGACACTGTCTTGCAAGAAGATTTTGGCCTAAGACTTCAAATTTTATTTGTCTTAAATTGTAAATCTATTCATGGTGGAGGGATACATGCCGGGCACTGCTAAGCAAAATAGTCCCCAAAGAAAACGTATCGCTATCTTTTGATAACATTATCAATATTACATGTAAAAAATCAGAGGACGTGTATTTACACTGGTGGTTTTGGATAGTAAACCAAAAAATTTGTGTTGTAGTCATGGCGAATCCTGGTTTGAGTCTCTGTTAACACTTCTCAGTTTAGTTCAGATTTCTGCCACGTACAACCTATTTTGTTTTTTGTTGAATATCTTAAAAAATATTTAACCCCTTTTTGACCAGGATATATTGGTGGTTTTTCCATCTGAATCTACATGACCAAATTGTAAGGCAAATTATTCAGTAACTGCATGAAAAATTTTTATTTTATTTACTTTTATTTTTTAAAAGCTCCCCTCAAATTAACAGAATACGTGTTTCATGATCTACACATATTGCTATATGCTTACAATTTACTGCTAAAAGCCAGAAATCTTAGATGGTCTTTGTATTTTTTTATAAGAATAATGTTTACAGAGCAGATCACTGAAGAGACGCCATCTGTTTATAGTTTATAGCCCAGATTTGTGGAAAAATGGGTCGACTTTCAGTAGAAAAAAAATTGTGAGTTCAGCTTCTTTTATTGTAAGGGTAGCGCCTTTTCCAACAAATGTTGTCACAAAGCAGCTTTACAGAGAATCCGGGTCCACGCCCCCAGTGAGGAAGCCTTGGCGACAGTGGCAAGGAAAAACTCCCTCGACAGGAGGAAGAAACCTCGAGAGGAACCAGACTCAAAAGGGGAACCCATCCTCCTCTGGTCGACACCGGATAACAGCACAGACACAAAACAGTATAAGTTTACAGTTTAACAGCACTGTGCAGAGCGCCGGCCGCATCAGTCACGTCAGACCCTCTTAGGACGGGCAGCCGCTCAGCTCAGGGAAAAGGATAGGGGGGAGGGAGGGTAAGAGGGACAGATAGTTAGTTCAGCACCAACATTCCCAGATTACCGTAGGACAGATCTGCGCCTTATTCTAACAGGAAAACTAATTAACCAAAGGCTCGACTAAACAGGTACGTTTTTAGCCTAGACTTAAAGATGGAGGCTGTGTCTGAGTCCCGAACACAGACTGGTAGGCTATTCCAAAGCTGGGGGGCTTTGTATGAAAAGGCTCCTCCCCCTGACGTAACTTTATTTATTCTGGGTACTAATAATGAGCAGCACCTTGTGATCTAAGTGGGCGTGTCGGTTGATAATAGGAAATAAGGTCACTGAGGTACTGAGGATCAAGGCCATTCAGAGCTTTATACGTCAGTAGAAGAATTTTGTACTCAATGCGGAATTTAACTGGCAACCAATGTAAGGTACACAAAGTTGGGCTAATGTGGTCAGATTTCCTGGTTTTGGTGAGAACTCTGGCTGCAGCGTTCTGGACTAACTGAAGCTTGTTAAGGTTTTGGCTGGAACAACCAGAAAGCAGAGCATTACAGTAATCTAACCTGGACGTGATGAAGGCGTGAACTAACATTTCTGCGTCCTGTAGCGACAGTGCATTTCTTAATTTAGCGACATCACCCATCTATTTGACTGGAAAGAAGACAGTTACAGCCTCATATGACCCCCACCTTTTGAATGTAGCTTATGAAATATGAAAGTTATGAAGAATATGACGAAGTGCGTTTTGGAACCACCGGTGGTCTCAAGGAGTTGAAGAGGTTAAGTTGGAATAGTCATATTTTTATATAAGCAACATATACATCTCTGCTACAAACAAACACTTGAACTTTGTTTCTAGCACCTGTTCATATACAATTCCATTGAAAATGCTGGGAGGTGCAATGTTACGAGGGTGAGGTGGGGTTAATTGTAACAGAGGGTTAGTCGTTACACTTGCTAGAAAAGTCTGATGAATTAGTGCGAACTATGTAAATACAATATAATTCTATGTTGTAAGAAACAAATATATTTTCCAACATTATATATTATCTATATATAAAACAGACAGACAGCTCAATAGATATAAACACACACTCATCAAATTATATATGAAAGCTGACTGTGTGTCAAACAATGACAAACATATTTTTGTCCAGTGAAGGACAGCAAATAAAAACATGACACATCAGTAAAATATGGTACACTGTTTCTGAATAACTACAGCTTCACCAGCTGTTAATGTACATTTCATTAATAAACTTATTTAAAACCAAAAAAGGAGCCCTGCTGGTGACATCCCATATAAATAATGCATGGCCACACCTTATTAACGTGTGGGAATGAGATCCTAATGCATGGCCACGACTTAGTAAGGCATGGGAATGAGATAATTAGTAAGGCGTGGGAATGAGATCATGCCTTACTAAATCGTGGCCATGCATTAGGATCTTACGGAGTACTGCTAAATAAAAAATAAAAATAAATAAATAAATAAAAACAATGCCTGGCCATGCCTTATTAACATGTGGGAACGAGATCCTAATGCATTACATAGCCCTGCTGATGACATGCCATATAAATAAAAATAATGCATGGCCATGACTTAGTAACGAGATCCTAATGTGTGGCAATGAGGGAATGAGATGATTAAGTTGTGACCAAGACTTAGAAGGGAATGGGAAGGAGAACATGCCTTATTAAGCTGTGGTCAAGGCTTAATTATCTCATTCCCACACCTTACTAAGTCGTTGTCATGCATTAGAATCTTGTTCCTATGCGGTAATACAATGTGGCCACGCACTATTTATATTTATACAGGATGCCACCCACAGGGCTCCGTAGGATCTTGTTCCCCCCCCTTACTAAGCCATGGCCTTGCATTATTTTTATTTATATAGGATATCACCAGCAGGGCCCTGTAGGATCTTGTTCCCACACCTTACTAAGTCGTGGCCTTGCATTATTTTTATTTATACAGGATGTCACCAGCAGGGTTCCGTATGATCTTGTTCCCACACCTTACTAAGTCGTGGCCACACATTAATTTTATTTATATAGGATATCACCAGCAGGGTTCTGTAGGATCTTGTTCCCACACCTTACTAAGTCGTGGCCTTGCATTATTTTTATTTATACAGGATGTCACCAGCAGGGCTCCGTAGGATCTTGTTCCCACACCTTACTAAGTCGTGGCCACACATTATTTTTATTTATATAGGATATCACCAGCAGGGTTCTGTAGGATCTTGTTCCCACACCTTACTAAGTCATGGCCTTGCATTATTTTTATTTATACAGGATGTCACCAGCAGGGCTCCGTAGGATCTTGTTCCCACACCTTACTAAGTCGTGGCCACACATTATTTTTATTTATACAGGATGTCACCAGCAGGGCTCCGTAGGATCTTGTTCCCACACCTTACTAAGTCGTGGCCTTGCATTATTTTTATTTATACAGGATGTCATCAGCAGGGCTCCGTAGGATCTTGTTCCCACACCTTACTAAGTCGTGGCCACACATTATTTTTATTTATACAGGATGTCACCAGCAGGGCTCCGTAGGATCTTGTTCCCACACCTTACTAAGTCGTGGCCTTGCATTATTTTTATTTATACAGGATGTCATCAGCAGGGCTCCGTAGGATCTTGTTCCCACACCTTACTAAGTCGTGGCCACACATTATTTTTATTTATACAGGATGTCACCAGCAGGGCTCCGTAGGATCTTGTTCCCACACCTTACTAAGTCGTGGCCACACATTATTTTTATTTATACAGGATGTCACCAGCAGGGCTCCGTAGGATCTTGTTCCCACACCTTACTAAGTCGTGGCCACACATTATTTTTATTTATACAGGATGTCACCAGCAGGGCTCCGTAGGATCTTGTTCCCACACCTTACTAAGTCATGGTCTTGCATTATTTTCATTTATACAGGATGTCACCAGCAGGGCTCCATAGGATCTTGTTCCCACACCTTACTAAGTCGTGGCCACACATTATTTTTATTTATACAGGATGTCACCAGCAGGGCTCCGTAGGATCTTGTTCCCACACCTTACTAAGTCGTGGCCACACATTATTTTTATTTATACAGGATGTCACCAGCAGGGCTCCGTAGGATCTTGTTCCCACACCTTACTAAGTCGTGGCCACACATTATTTTTATTTATACAGGATGTCACCAGCAGGGCTCCGTAGGATCTTGTTCCCACACCTTACTAAGTCGTGGCCACACATTATTTTTATTTATACAGGATGTCACCAGCAGGGCTCCGTAGGAACTTGTTCCCACACCTTACTAAATCGTGGCCACACATTATTTTTATTTATACAGGATGTCACCAGCAGGGCTCCGTAGGATCTTGTTCCCACACCTTACTAAGTCGTGGCCACACATTATTTTTATTTATACAGGATGTCACCAGCAGGGCTCCGTAGGATCTTGTTCCCACACATTACTAAGTCGTGCCCACGCATTATTTTTATTTATACAGGATGTCACCAGCAGGGCTCTCTTTTTCTCTTTTTCACTTTAAAATCTGTGTGAACATAAAGAACAAAAGACAAAATTTACTTTAGTTACTGAAGGTGGCTTGGCTGTAACACCGTGTTCAAAGCGGTGCTACGCTGCAGGCAGACGACGGTGATTAAAAGTAATATAAGGTTGGATTTTCTGATTTACACAAACAGCTCAATAACAAAAAAAACGTACTTACTGAAAACACTCTTTGGCACAGATCTCTTTGAAACACTGACGAACCGCTCTGAATTTTGGTGGGAGACCGTGGCTGGAATATGTGGTGATGTGGCCAGAAGCTCACGCTGCTTGACCTTTTTTAACAACGTCAATGGTCCATGCTAATTTGTGCCCCTGTGTTAGGTTGTTCCCCTAAGCTTAGCCAAGGAAGCTAAACCCTTACCTGTAAGTTTCTCCACAATTAGCCATTTCACACCAAACCACTCTGAAAGACTTTCGTTTAATCAGTGACTGAATTTGCAAAAGGTGCACTTATTTTATTCACCAGTACAACCATTTTACTGGCAATTGTAAAGGATGCCTGAAATGAGTCTGCCTTTGATACGGATGAGCTTCACAATGACGCCTTTAAAAAACGTATTCAGAACCGTCGGGTGTCCAAAAAACGCCAGAACCACTTTCATTCTGTCTGCTGAATGGACGTTCTCTGAACGTCAGATAAAGCCGTTTATAAGGACGTGTTTTGTGTGGTAGTGGACAGTAACTAAGTAAATGTAATTCATTTCTGTACTTAAGTAGTTTTTTGTGTATCTGTACTTTACTGAAGTTTTTCCATTTGGGTGACTTTTTCACTCCACTGCATTTCAAAGTCAAATATCTCACTTTTTACTCCACTACATTATGAGAAATCTGTCGTTCCTTTTGGTTTATGTGTGTATAAAAAATGTAATATGTCAAAACGAAAGAAGCGCAAAGCAAAAACACCAATCAGGGCACAGCGTCACTTTGTTTTGAGCTTGTTTTGACCTGTTGGTCATACCGACCCAGTGCAGCACACGGTTCAACATCAGTGCAGCAGTGTAAAATTTTGGGAGTGTCTATTCAACATAAATGATGAACTAACCTAACTTTGTATAAACAGACCACAATATAGAAATATGTACACATATGCAGTTGTGACTGACGGGTCTTTATTCTGAATTTATACAAACACATTTCATTTTATAGTAAATTAGTTTTTGCTAGTTTATGTTTATGAACAGAGACCTACAGATGCAGTTTAGTAAAGGAAACTCATTTGTGAATCTGAGTTTAAAGCAAGTTTTTATTAAACTTAAACTGTAACTAAGCTGTAAATAAATCTTAAACTGAAACTTTGCTTGTTTGTAAATAGTGATTTCAGAGCCACTCAGTTCTACCTGATGGAAACTGTTTGCCTTCAGTGTTTTGTGCTTATGATGATTTTAATAGACATCAGCGTCACTAATTAATGACATTCTATTAAAAGACTGGTTTACCAAGAGTGACACTGGAGTATTTTCACCTAAAATGAGTTAATGAAGCAGAGTCTTGTTACAAAAATGATAATAGGACATTAGAGCCATAATTAATCTTTAATACTTTTACTTTTGATACTTAAGTACATTTGAAGGTGAATACCTCTGTACTTTTACTCAAGTGGAGGTCTAAAGGGGTAAACTTCTACATTTACTGGAGTAATATTTTACCTTGGGTCTCTCTACTTTAACTCAAGTACATGGTTTGTGTACTTCGTCCACCACTGCCTTTGTGAGTAAATAAAATTACTATATTTGTGTTGCAGACATGGTGATTCCTATCACCACCACTGTAAAGAAATGCATCATTTCACATCACTCTGAATGACTGATTTATGCCGAAAGCTTCATCAACATTTTGTCTTGTCGGTGGGTTCGGGTGAATGTAGGCTCAGCAACTTGAGGCTGAACCCTTACCTGGAGGTTTTGTTGTAGGATGTGGGTTCGGAGTTAGTAAGGGTTTTTTTTGTCTTTCCCTCTTGTGCTCTTCACCGTCTGGTGTCCTTCCCTTCACTTCTACCTACGGGTAGATATGTCTGAGTCATAAGTGGTTATACGTCTTAAATAAGAAAAGAGATTATTCCTTCTTTATGTTTGGCAGAACTAACGATACTAGTTCCCCAGATCCAGATTAAGCCTACGCCTGGCCAACATGGGCTTTTCAGTGGTGAAACTGGTTTCCATCACTGTTTATTCAACCCCCAGGCCATGTCCGAGAAACTGACAACGACCAGACCATGCCCAGGAAACTGCCCGTGTTGGGCAGACCTGAAAGTCTTACCTATGTTACTATCACAAACCCAACGTGAGAATAAAGCGTACTTCGTCCACCACTGGTTTTGTGACTGCTCCACGACAAAGCTGAGGAGAAACAACTTCCCCTTTTTCAACGGCTGCTTTTTTTTCTCCTTCTTCTTCTTTTTGAGGTTCCCCGAAAGAAGAGAAAAAAGAGTGGTATCCGGCTGAAGTCCTCCCAGAGCGGAATTTTCTTTTTCTGACTTGTGAGGTAAGGTGAAGGCGTCCCCGGCTCTGAGGGGTGTAGCTACTTTTGAGGAGCCACCTTAGACACCTCAGAGGGAGAGGAGGGCAGCCAGGTCGCGGAGCTCACCGACTCCAGCTGTTAACGTTGTTTTAGAGAAGAGTAAAATGGAGAGAGGCAGGAAAGGAGCAGGTGCGCTGTGAAGGTTAGACTGGGTTTTTGTGTGTGTACGTGTGTGTGTGTGTGTGTTAGCTTCTGCTGCTATAGCGACGCTCGCGCTTCACTCTCCTTGTAACGGTCGCCTCTCACGCGCAGCCTATGTTCGACACGTTAATGGCGAACATGGCCAGTCTGAAGGCGCTCGACGAGCCGTTTGGTGAGTAACTTTTAGCCTGTTTTCAAACTAAATCACACCTTTTTCTCCTCCTTGACCTGCTTTCCTGATAAAGCGATACTTTTGTCCGCGTTTTGCTTTGTTCTCGCCTTTGTGTTTGGCTCTTAAAGGGGAATTCTACCGATTCCCAACATACCTGCGTATGTAATGTTAAGCATGATTAAGTGGGGAAGACGTAAACAGTCATTCGGAGTGGTTTGAGATTAAATGTTGTTGAGTTTTCAGAGTTGTGGTGACTTTGGATGAGTTGAATGCCTCTAAAAGCTCCTTCACTGGACGTTATTACATTCAAGGGCTACTGAAACGCCGCCTAATGTCTCTGAATATTGTTTAACGATGTTTTTTGACGTGTTTAATCCATTCATAGTGAAAAAGACCCTTGGGGTTAGAACCTGCTTCCCAACGAATTGGCTTAATGTTGACTGTTAGACACCACAGTGTCCTGCAGAACACCTTAAAGGGGAAATCCACCTTTTTAAAAAACAAATTCTGCATAATTCAGTGGTTGAGATGTACACAGTCATTCAGAGTGGGTTGGTGTGGTATGATTCATTGTAGAGACAATGGTGGCGATAGTAACGATGGGTCACCATGTCTACAGCACAAATATAACCAATTTATTTACCATCCAAAAGCACCAGCGAACCTTTCGCGTGTCTTCTGGGCACGTTGATGATGGTAAAATAGCCATAAATCTGAAAAAAATATGTTTTTGGGGGACTATTTTGCATCACCACCAGGAATGGGTTAAAGTTAATGTATTAAAATACATTTTAAGCCAAAACTTTATCACAAAGCTGTCATAAAACATCTGTCTTACTGTTTCATGCTATAACTTTCTGTGAGGGAGCTTTTGAAGACATGAAACTCCTCAGACGTCTGGTTCCCATCACCACCACTGTGAACAGTTCTGTCTCTGTTTCTGTAACGGAGCATTCCACTTTAAGCCACTCTGAATGACTTTATTGACATCTCAACCATGTAATAATGCAGAATTTTTCAAAGTTCCCTTTTAGCCTTTAGAAAACTATGAAATGCATTTAGAATTAATCACAGGTCAACTGCTAACGGGATCTTTTGCATTGTTATATCATCCCACCAGGAAAATCCAGAACATCATAACTAACCATTAGACATGTATAAAAGCACCTGGAACCGACCTTAAATGGTTCAGAGTTTTTTTTTGTTTTTCAGTAGGGATGCAGTGGTTTTTCAGTAGGGATGCAGTGGTTTTTCAGTAGGGGTGCAGTGGTTTTTCAGTAGGGATGCAGTGGTTTTTCAGTAGGGGTGCAGTGGTTTTTCAGTAGGGGTGCGCTGGTAGGCAAGATAGTATCCAGGGAAAATGTTTTTATTTTTTCAGATTTACCACTATTTTACCATTATCAGCAATACATATGTAACTCAGAAGACGTGTAGGTTTACTGGTGGTTTTGGATAGTAAATAAAATGTCTATATTTGTGTTGTAGACATGGTGACCCCTGGTTCCTATCACCACCACTGTAAAGAAATGCACCATTTCACATCACTTGAAATTTTGTCTTGTCGGTGGGTTCGGGTGAATTTAGGCTCAGCAACTTGAGGCTGAACCCTTACCTGGTGGTTTTGTTGTAGGATGTGGGTTTGGAGTTGGTAAGGGTTTTTTTTTTTTATTCTTTCCCTTTGTGCTCTTCACCGTCTGGTGTCCTTCCCTTCACTTCTACTTACGGGTAGATATGTCTGAGTCATAAGTGGTTATACGTCTTAAGTAAGAAAAGAGATTATTCCTTCTTTATGTTGGGCAGAACTGAAGATACTGTCTGTTTGGGCTGGTTCCCCAGATCCAGACTGGGCCTATGCCTGGCCAACATGGTCTTTTTAGTGGTGAAACTCCTTTGCCATTGCTGTTTATTCAACAACCAGGCCATGCCCAGGAAACTGCCCATGTTGAGCAGACCTGGAAGTCTTACCTATATTAGTATCACAAACCCAAAGTGAGAATAAATTGTATCTGGAGAAACACTACAAGCAACCAAAGAATGCTTTATTTTTTTGGGTAACTTACAAGTTTTTGCATTCATTTTTGCATGAAAGGACATAAAGACGTGTTTTAGACCGTTTATATTGGAGTGTTACTTTTTTCTCTGAGCTCTAAATGGGTGTATATGGGTGGCCAGGGAAGAAAAGTGGGCCTAATCTGAGTGGAAGGGCAGCCCTGCAGCCATATATTATGATGTGGTTTATATTTCATCTCTTCAAGTTCGTCCAGGGCAAGCAGCGACACGCTGTCTGCATTCCCTTTGCTAAGCAGAAACAATGACGAGCTGAGTCTACATGCTGATGCACAGGACAGCAGACCTATCACTGCACTAAAGCCTTTCTTTAGAAAACTAAGTGCTCCCACTTCTTCAGAAAAGAGTGCAATAGTACAGTCCAGCTGCATGTATCTGATCTGTTTTGCCAAATTTCTTCTGAACGTACATCCTGAGTCTTGCACTGTCTTTCCTGTTTCAGTGGTTTAGGCTGCAGGTAGTCTTGAGGTTTTCATTTGCTTTCTAGAGCTTCATTTCTCAGGGTTTGAGAAACACAGGCTTACAATAAGTTCAACCACGACCACTCTCTCATCACACTGTGACGCTCTGATGTACCTTTGTGTCCGGGAACTCTCCACAAATGTAGTTGTTTCATGCTAGTTCTGCTCGAAGTTAGGAACAATTGAGAGTGCTTTCAGGGAAGCACTTTCAAATGTTTTATGTCGCACACACTCAGAGCCTTCAGCTCGTGGAATTTATGACTTACATGATTTTTCAGTATTTTTTGTGCGTTGGTTCGGAAACAATACTGTTCTTGCATTTATTAGTCTCAGTTTCGTTTTCCAGGTCACTGCATGACAAAAGATTTTAATTCTAAGCAGCAGTCAAAAAAAACCTTTTTTAAGAGATACTGAAAAAGATTTGTTACTGGCAGCCAAACACCGACGTTAATTATGACATCCAGTAAGCAGATGTCATCTGGACATTCAATGAATTGGCCTTATCATTCAAAAATAGCATTTTTTGATACCATTACTGTCTGGACCACAGCTAATCACCACCACCTCTAAAGGTGTCTACAACCATCAAGTAAAGAAACAGTACTTAGTGCAGCCCTATAAAGGTGTTATTAACAAACATGAAATAAATAATTATTACTCACTGCTGTCCTCTAAAGTTGTTATAAACAAACATCAAATAAATAAATATATTACACAGCATTGTCCTATAAAGGTGTGATTAACAAATATCAAATAAATAAACATTATTTACCACTGTCTTCTAGAGATGTTATTAACAAACATCAAATAAATAAATATATTACACAGTGCTGTGCAATAAAGGTGTTATTAACAAACATCAATTAAATAAACATTGTTCACCGCTGACCTATAAAGGTGTTACTAACAAACATCAATTAAATAAACATTACTCACCGCCACCCTACAAAGGTTTTATAAACGAATATAAAATAAACAAACATGACTCGCTGCTGCCCTATAAAGGTGTTATTATCAAACATCAAATAAACATTACTCACCGCCACCCTCTAAAGGTGTTATTAACAAACATCAAATAAATTAACATTACTCACTGCCGCCATCTAAAAGTGTTATAAACAAACATCAAATAAACAAACATTACTCACCGCTGCCCTCTTTAAAGTGTTACAAACATCAAAAAAACAAACATTACTCAGTGCTGCCCTCTTTAAAGTGTTACAAACATCAAATAAACAAACATTACTCACCGCCGCCCTCTTTAAAGTGTTGCAAACATCAAAAAAACAAACATTACTCAGTGCTGCCCTCTAAAGGTGTTATTAACAAACATCAAATAAATAAACATTACTCACCGCCGCCCTCTTTAAAGTGTTACAAACATCAAAAAAACAAACATTACTCACCGCTGCTATCTAAGGGTGTTATAGCACCAGTAAGAAATGAGAACTTTTTGCAAAACCCATAATGTGTCTCAATAAATGATTTTATTTGCATGTATTTGCCCCAACCCAATGGACAAAAGTGCACCCAATTCACATTTTTTTGAGGAGTTTGCTTCTGAAAGCTAACAACTGTGAAACATAATTGCAATCAGTCCAAACAAGCACCATCAGGCAATGCTGTAATAATTGTGACAGGTGTAGTTTGCACCATAAAAGTATTCAGTTCTGATGGCTCTAATCGTAAGACAACAGCAAAGACAACGTTCAGCTATGACACTGTCTGGCGGTAAGTGAAGTGGAATAGATTACTCTCAGAGCCAGCAAAAGAGCTGTAGGTGGACTTCCTGTGACCATTTCTCTTCATAAAGACGACCTTTTCAGTTGGTTGAAAATAATCACATTGTGAAGTGGTGAGACATTTACCAGCTTTTACCCTAAATGGGCAGCTCAATCAAGATGTTAGTGTGCTCACAGCATCACTGACTATTGTGCCAAGGTTCAGCCACAAGAGCTCGGCCTGTTCTCTTTCACATCTTCCAGTTATGGGTACAGTCACAATTACATCATTTCTCCAAACGGTTATTGTGATTCTTTGTAGAACGCTTTCTCCAAAAAGCAATATAGCAACCAGTAATAGTGTCAGAACTCAAACTGTTACTGCGATCTATGAGAAATGTTCGTAACTTGATTCTGAGAAAACATTCATAAAAAAGGCATGTCCTGTTGCACCATGACTCTTAGCAGTGATAGTGGTGAAGGGTTTGAAAAAATGCTGTGGTGCAGATCACGTGCATTGAAGGAAGCTTGCATCTACTGCTGACAGTCTGGTGCAGTAAGACACTTAAAAAGAATGGAAATTGTTTGAAGTGCAGTGGCACTTTACAGTGGTTGGTACTGAGAGTGGTGGGTACTGATTGTTATCACTAAGCAAGAATGCTTGACAAGACCCAAAGTACAGAATTACCACGTTACCGTTAAATCGAAGTCAGATTTTAGCAACATGTTAAATATCTGAGTGCAGTGTCTAAAAGATGTTCTACTGTGGGCACCTGCGGCTGGGAAGTTGAGCAGATCAAGTCTGACAGGTGTGGTCCATAATTGATTGTTGGCGATCAGCTTAAAGAGTAACTACACCCTAAGACTGAAACATGAACACATCTTTCCAAACTGTAATAAATATAATTCTTATCATGGTCAGTTCCGCTCTTGCGGTGCTCCTCTGGCGCGGATGACATGTCTTGGTGCTGAAGTACCATAACACGTCACAGTATGCAAATCGGTCAACCAATGTTCATGCCCCCTGATGACGCCCTACGCGTGCTGTGCTCATAAACACGAAAGCGTAGGAGCCCAGACCAAGGAGATAACCACACTCATGCTCTGAGCTAAATACGCCCAGCACCACCTCACAAAGTTGTTATGATTAGCAGATTTATTGATAACGTTCAACGTAAGATTCGGTAACCTGATGGACCGATTAAGTGAGTCTCCAAAAAGCTGCTGGTAAGTGCCATGAGCAGCTTGCAGAATGTAAGGATTTAGGGACAAACCCTGGATGACAGTCACTTTATTCATTGGGAATCCAGTGCGTTTAAGAAGTCAGGACTCGGGTAATATCAATGGGTAATGATCAGCTGCCCCACTACATTGCTTGAGTCACCAAAGCTCTGGGTTATCCAGCTCCGGTCATGCAGGGCTTTTGTCCAACACAGCTGAAAATGGGTTCATGTGTCCTTCAGAAAGCTTGTGCTTGCCCTCAGAGTCCAAGATTGGTTGGCACTCTAAAGTCAGCATTATGCTTCAATAATGTTGAAAAAAACACCTCAATCGAAAGCAAAACAAGATGCGGCAGTTCGAGTTTGTACGGTGTAGTATGTGCTACTTACAAAACAGAACTTCTAATAACTTCATCACTTGTTCTGATGTCCCCTCACTGTGATTCGTCCTATTCAAGGCCTCATTCATTCTCCCCTGACTGTGATTTGGTCCACTGCACTATGCAGGTATGCAGGCTATTAGCGGTGATAAGACATACATTGAGTTCTTTTTGTTTTGCTGAACAAAGTCAGGGATGAAAGTCAGGGATTGCTGTTGAGGGAGTGGACATCAATACTGAGATATGTAAAAAACAGCCATGTCTGTTTGGGTTAGCCTTTTTCCTCTCTCAGTCAGCTGCATCAGATGAAGCAGTGGTTTCAGGGCCTTGCCCTCACACTTTTACAAGCTGAGAATCTGCGGCTTAACATCTTCTACAGATAGTGTGAGTGGCACAATATTTACCAAATTCTAGCAATGTCAGTCGGTTGTAAACAGAAGCATAAGGGATACGGACATGAAACAACATTTAGCACCGATTTTGTTTGGCTCAGAGCAGCTGCTGCGTGATTATGTGTCTGTGCTGTAGATTCATTTATATATTGTTAAGTGCTTTTTTACTCTTCTGCACAAAATCTTTTAAATGTTGCATTAGAAATATTACAAAAAATGTGTTTACTTAAGCATTTAAAACAGCTTAATTAAATATATATAAATATATATTCACATACTTCATATCAAATGTAAGCTCCCTGGACAGAAAGTCACCTTGTGTGTTTAAGGTGGTAGTAACTTCAGGCTCCTGCAGATGGCGTTGCACAAGGATGATTGGGCTATAAATACCTGTGGGGTGTGCGATGGGATTCATAGATTGAGAAGAGGTGGTACAGTGCAGTGAATGTCTCGTTCGATGTGTGGAAAATGGGTTGCAAAGCAGATGTTAACGATTGGCAAAAAGGGGTGATTGCATTTGGGCGTGTCAAAGGGCACAATGTGAAGGAAGTAGCTGAATTTGCAAGTGTATCAAAGCGTACTGTCCTACGGGTCTTCCAGGAATGGGTCTTCCAGGTCTTCTCTGCTTCCCTGCAGAGTGTTTTTTCAGAAATTGGTTGTGAGTTGACCTCTAGAAGCAATTCTTGCCTGGAAGCAAAGCAATTTATATTCATAAGCTCCTCAGACAAAAAACTTAGTCACCACCTTAAACACGCAAGGTGACTATTTTTTTGTCCTGGGAGCTTATATTGTTGCTGTCAAGCAAAAACCTTTCGTCTCTGGTTTTGTTCTGTTTTTCTTTTTTTTTTTGCATAATTTGAAAAGTCCAGTCGCCCTTTGTCAAGTGTTAAAATTTCATGAAGAACTGACTAATAAAAATTAATTACTTAGGAAAAATCTTGCTATATTAGCTTCCACAAGTCAAGAAAAAAATTTCCTTCTCCTGTAAAGTTTTGGATACACAAGGCTTTTTTTCCGACAGTGAAGAATACTGGATATATACTGATATATACAGAGACCATCAGAAATTTTAGTTGTACCGTGATATACATTTTTGGCCATGCCCCCTACTACCAGTTCCGTTTTTTTTCCTGCGCTATGCAAAAGATGGTGGCCTCCTTGAAAATCACAATTTTGCATATCATTCATTTCCTTAAATCCTTAACGCCCAGCTTTCACAGTTGATCTTCACAAGAAGGCTGTTTTAGTCATCGTGGTCATAGACGTAGTGTGTTGCGGGGGGAGGGGGTGGATTTGGTTGTTAAATGTGGCTTGGAGAGACAAACACACTTGTGTAACCGAAATATAACTCCTCTCAACCACCTCCTGAAGGTTTCATTCTGCTTTAAATGCATCTTAGGTGCATTTACGCCTGTGTTTTTATGTGGATGATCCCTGTTTATAATCCTAATAGAAAAAAAACATGAAAAGACGAAGTGTAAGCAGGATTTGAGACACCGGGTGAGAATTGGTGACTTTCATCAGGCAGACATCCAAAAAGAAGAAAAAAGAATACCGCGAACTTGTACTAGAAAACCCCCCACTTTCCCACTTCAGCTGTACTACAGGTCCTGGAAATCGATGTTGCATGACAGGATAGTCGAGTTAAATCGAAACACATGATGCCACGGCCAGTTCCTGTTTTGCGTTGTGGTGGGTGTCACACTGCCGCTGTATTCACAAATGCTGTGTTTTTAACAGGGAGAATCACCTCTGAACCGGTTGAGGATACTGATCCCAGCAGCTTCATTACAGATATGGTAAGCTGTTTTCTATCACTAGCAAAATGCAGTAGTTGCGAAACAGAAACGATCACAGTGTAGTTGTGGGAATCGTGGCTAATTTGAAAGTAGGCCAAGTCTGCTGCTAAGCACTTCAGTTAAATCTGCACTTGACTATCCTACTTATCTGAAACAAATCATATGAAAAAGATGACTGAACAAGGTTGTGTTGGACTTTAAAGTTTTGCCAAATGTTTGTTGGCTTTGCTTTTCTCAGCTGCACAAGCTTTAAAGCACTTGAGGGGTACAAATAGAGCCATTTTCAGTTTATGTAGGCCTGTTTATAAAAAAAGTCTTGATGATTTAATAGAAAATGGAGGCACAAGGTTTTCTTTGTGCATGCCGACGGTGCTTTGGAACGGAGATGCACTGTCAGTAGATGTGTTTCAGCTTGTCCTCAGCTCATTAGCCCACACAGTCTGAAAGAGTTTTTTTTTCCCTCAGTGCATTTCAAGCTTCTTATCTGTTCAAATATGTCTCTACTTGGAAAAAAAAGAGGGATAAAAGAAATATTGTCTTAGTGTCAGGTAGCTTTGTGTGTGCGTGAGCGCACATGTGTGCGTGCCCTTTGTGTAACGTCTTTGTATGATAAATGAAGGTGTGACGGTTTGCTTTTTTTTTTTCTTTCTCTTAGTCTCTGAAGTCAAACTACCCTGTCCAAGTCACTGATCCACAAGGTATTGGATGCTTTTGAAACTTTTTTTTCCACTTTGCTCTCCCGTACACCAGTCAGTACCGTGCAAAATCAGAGACCGTTCGCTTGTTTAATTTCCAGCCACTGAATACAAGTTAGCGTATATATCTGAGGAGATCAGATATAAGATAATCCACTTGCTCAAGCAAGAGGAAATGAAAAACTTGGTAGACACCAAAACTGTCCCTGTCAGATAAACAGCACTTACAGCTTTCATCTTTGAGAGAGAGGAGAAAATCAAGCTGCTTCAGATCTGAAAACATCCACAGGTGTTTCTGTCCATCCTTCCACTGTGAGAAGACGACTCAGCACTGTGAGTTAAGGATGTGTAGCTGTCAAGAAGCTCTTAAAGAGAAAAAGAAAGGAGCAGAAAAGAACAAAACTAGAGGACTGACCACCGCAGAGTCCAGACCTCAACATCACTGAATTTGCTTGGGATTGCTTGGATTGTGCGAAACAGAAAAGGCAACCAGCTCCACTCTGAACTTTGGAGATATGGAAAAGTATCTCTGCAGATTCCTTTGAAAAACTGAAAGCAAGTCTCACAAAAGCTGTTGTAAAGACAAAAAAAGAAAAATTCAACGAATTCAATCATTGAGGCTTGTGTAATTTTCTGTGTTTCTCTTGAATGATTTCTTCTTAATGGCAATTCTGACTGGAAATTAAATGAACTGAAATGGTTGTTTGGTTTAAATGCTGCTTTGAACTTGAAGAATGTGTCAGACTAGCTTTTCCGACATAGATAGCGCTGTTGTCGGAAGAAAACCTGGTATCTCTATTTTTTGTCATTTTTTAGTTTTTTGACATTGAAAATGCTTCTGGTTCTTTACACTGTGTGTAAATTTCATGATGAATGGACTAAAAGAAATGACCCAACATGACTTGGAATACATTCTGGTTCCATTGACTTCCATTAAAAGTAAAGTAGGTTTTTTCTTCTCCTGTAAAGTTACTTTTTTGGAGATACGAGGTTTTCTTCCGACAGCAGCGACATACAAACATTAACTTTACCGAACCTAATGAACCACTAAGTGTATCTTTTATTAAACACCTATTCTTAAGGCCGCCTCCCACGTGTGAAAAATCCTGATCAGCCATTCTCTGTGCTGTAAACACCAACTACTGTGTGAAAACAATTACAGAAATAAAGGGCCAGCAAACGTCCTGTTTACAGCGTTTCCTAGACAAAGTTGTCAGCTTAATTGCAAAATATCTGTCAATCAGAACTGGTGCGCCCACAGTGGAACTATGAGCCAACGCACATATCCATGAAGTGCGTGTTTTTTTTTGTGCATGATGTAATTCTTTGATCTTGTTAACACAGATAACGTGACTCTGCAGCTCAGTTCGGTGCCCCCTGGATACCTCACACCCCCCATGGATCGAATACAACAGGTGAGACATTCTAAAATAAGAGCTAACCCTCTCAGAGACTAAAACGGAATACGTTCTACTACCCACAAGCCTCTTAGGCGTAGCATAGGGCTGCACGATGTGGACAGATTTAGAACATTGTAATTACATTGAGATTATACTGCTGCATGTTGCGTTTGCAGTATATGTAAAACGCCAGCCAGTAGCCAGATTATCACAGTGCTTACAGCTTAATTAACATTTCTGAATTTTCCAATTCAGCCTCCTTTTTATCAGTACAAAACTCATCATGCAACGTGTTCTTTTGAGTCAGGGTTTTCTGAGTCATCGTGCACTGGTGAGGATAATTAAATTAAAAGGAATATCTTGTTTTAATGCCCACCTAGGCCAAGTTCCAGAACATAACCACTGGGGGTGCATCGGACATAAATGGGGGTGCACCCTTGGAATATGTGTGGCTATTCAAAAATAGAATGATGACTGTGATGATGGTGTGCTCTTGACTAACAACACTACACAGGCCTGGAAATACTGGACGGCCATTAGCCTCATGGTATTCGTCTCGCAAGTCTCTAAGAAACAGGATATATTTTGATGCGTTGAACACTATTTTTATAACTATCATTTGCAAAGTTACATTTAATAAAAACATCAACTACACTCTTAAAAAAGATGCTTTCTCAGGGATTCTTTAGTTAAAAGCACTGGTTCTGTTTATTTCACGCTTAAATGGTTCTTTGCATGCTGAACTGGTTCTCCAGATCGATGGACAGTTGTGTTTTATGGTTCTACGTAGCAACAGACAGGGTTCTGCTGTAGTTACGATGTTAAGCTTGTAGCCCTTTTTGGTGCTATTTAGAACCATTTTCAAAAAGGTTCTAAAACATCACATTTCCATCAATCTGAAGAACCATTTTACTATGCAAAGAGCCATTTAATCATGAAATGTTATATAAGCAACTCATGGTTCTTAAAAGAACCATTGGCTTTACTAAAGAACCCTTGAAGAACCTTCTTTTTTGAGCATGTAGCTTGACTTTAGCATCTCTGTGTATAACATTAATAATAATAGGTACAGATTTCAGTGAGTAAATCAGGTTACCTTATTTAAACAGTGCCATTCTATAGTATTCTTATAATGATAGCAGTGACGTTCAAGGTACTATGCTACACAAAGGACATCCAGTCAGAGCCAGTTTAAGGCTTGGTGGGTAATTAATTTCATATTTCTGATATGGACTGTTTACTGATATGTCATGAATGAATTCATGAAGACAGATCTAGCCAGCTCTTCAGCTCAATCTTAAGAACAGACTGCTATTAGCGTAGTAGCATATCTGTTAGACTCTATAATGATTTTCTGCGTGGTAAAAATGTCCACTAAAATGTCTACTGTTACTCAAAATCACATGCAGAGTCAATTAAAATGTTATACTCCCAAGCATTTATGTTTGAGAGTGTTAAAATATGAGCAAAAACAACTTTCTCTCCACTTCGGAGCTGGCTGACGTTAACTTCGAACTCTCTACAAAGTGATAATTCACACAAATGTCTACAGAACCGTGTAGAATCGAGCAAAATGTATTTTCTCTTGAATAATAAAAAAGCGAGTGTAAAAATAAGAGCAGAAACAGCTCATTGTGTAGCTGCTGGCATTGTAGCTTCTAAGTTACATAGTAACTTACAAATTGATCATTCTAAAAATAGCAATCGAAACATTGAAATATTACTCCAGGTTATATTCTGGTGCATGTATCGGTCATCTTCTAGTGCTTAGTGACTGTATCCGCACCTTGAACAGTTAAATTAGCTCAATAAGGCTGCTTATACAGCAAGATAAAGGAAGAAATCCAGCTAAAGTCAGGCGCAGGTTGAGCTCAAGTTGAAGCACTCAGTGCTGTTTTATTTCACGTGTTGATCATCGTTGATCATCGTTGTTTTAAGACCAATGAAGGCGTTTCTGCTTTCTTCCGGTATTTGTTAGCTCTATATTGATAGCATTGGGAGGGTATGAGGGCAACATTTAATGGTGTACTTGTGCACGTGTTTCAACAGTTGTGGTCAGTCACTCGGTCAGTGAGTCAGTGACTCAGTAAGGGACGTTGACTCTCTTAGGCTGAAATGATACAATAGAAAAGTCCATGAATTTACTGAAATATCACATGCTTTTATAGCAAAAAGGTATCAGAGGGCTCGTTTTAGCGGTGTTTGGCATGAATAATACAATGTATGTTTATAAAACATTTTTATTTATTTATATTGCAGCTTTCACACGTTAAAAAAAGGAGCTCAAAGTGCTTTACAATACGACGTAAATTCAACAGAGGAAGAAGAGGAAAAAGATAATCAAATAATAAATAGCAGGAAAGAGATGTATTAATAATTACAATTAAAAAGCACAAGATGAAATATAAAGAAAAAAGAAAAAAGAATACAGTAAAAATGCAACTAACAAAATGCAACTAACAAAATAAAAGAAATAGTAATATTCCTGTAAAAACCAAGCAAACATTTAAAAAAAACTATTTAAACGCTAAAGTAGAGAAAGATGTTTTAGCTGTTTTTTAAAGACATTGACAGAAGGAGACTTACAGATGTTTATTGGTAATGTGTTCCAGATCTAAAAAAACATTGTTGTAATAATATGATATGGTTCCACTTTAGGATTTAAATACTGTTTGTTCAAAAAATGGTGCATGTCCATGTCCAGTATGCCCAGGACAGAGAATGGTAACTGCATCACAATACAGCTTTACAGTGATCTTATAAATGTTTCAGGCTTTATCAGATGTATAAGTGCTTTGCAGATTAATTAGTCTTCATACTGCACTACCTAAGCACTACCTAAACGCTCAGGTGGCTTCCAGTTCACATTGACTTCAGCCCAACATTCATTACGCCATGTTTAAAACAAATACAAAATGAGTTACACCGTAAGTTGACTGTTTTTAAGGAGCATAAGGTCCCATATGTTACTTAATACAACCGTTCACCTGTGTGTTTTTAAATATAAGCTAATGAGCACAGCTCTGCCCATCCAAGTCACATTAGCATGTGCAGTTTGATCTGCCTAGAGACAGAATATAATGTCAGCACAGTGTTAGCCTATTTAAATGAATTGAAAGTATTGAAAGTTAAAGTACTGAGTCATTTACCATGTTGTAGTGTTGGGAAAACACTGAACTTTCAGTACATTGTGCAGTACTAAAAAATTGGCTTCCAGTCTTCAGCTGTTGTCGATAACACATAAACTTTATGCACACGGATATCGTCGCTGTCCAATGAAAAACATCTAATTTTGCAATTTTTACTTTGCTGCATCATTTGAGCTCAGCTGCCCTTCACATTGTGCGAAAATTTCATGATGATTGGACCAATAGAAATGCTTAGAATAAAACCTCTTTCCATTACCTTCTACTGGAAGTAAAGAAAGTTTGTGCCCTCTCCTCTAAAGTTACTAATTTGGAGAAACTTGTTTTTCTTTGGACAGTGACAAAATGTAACTCAGCATGATTAACCTGGTTCTTTATATCTGACATATATGTCAAAAGCTACTGGCACATTCTTAGCACATTGACAAGCTGCAGAGCCAGCTGGTAGTCCCACAGCTGCTATTCAGAAGTCATTGTAGTAGTTAAAGTGGTCAACTTCAGTTGTTCACCCGTTTATAAGGATTGCGTACAATCTTGACCGATTTAATGAATAATTTGCGTTCTTGTTACGCTTTGAGCTGCTCACCCTCACATGACTTGAGTGATCGTACGTCACATACTAATTTCCTGCAGGAAGTTTATACTTAGACATGCCAAAACCACAATCGGTGGATGTTATTTCTCACAAGTGGGTGTGTGAGTGTATCTGCATGTGTAGGTGGCCTCTCTCTTGTTAGTAATTTCCTTCAAATCTTTTCCTTTTGACCTGAGAAGGTGGGGGACAGATTTGTGCATCTGTACATCTGTCAGGTTCAGAGTAATTAAATAGTAATTTACAGTGTAGTCATGTGTGTAGCATTGTGACATCATATAACATGTATGTACATGTTCATATATATGTATATATATATATATATATATATATATATATATATATATATAAGGTATGTCTTTTTTTTCTTGTGATGTTTGACAACACATGAAACTAACATTTTCCATTTGTTTACCAGCCAGTTGAAAATGATGCAAGTGAATTTATCTGTCCAGGATCCATTACTCCAGGTACATGTAACATTCATTTTAAACTTTTATTATATATATATGTATATATAAATAAAAATAGAATGCAATGATATGCAAATCATGTAAACCATATTTTTAAAGGAAAATACTACACAGACAACATATCGAATGTTAAAACTGAAAAATTTTATTGTTTTTTGAAAAATATATGCCCATTTTGAATTTTATGCCAACCACATGTTCCAAAAAACATCCTCTGTGTTTCATCACCTCTTCGTTCCTCTTCTATTTGCACATTTTGTTTTTATTTGCATTTTGCAAAGCGTCCCAACTTTTTTTGGAAATGGTGTTGTATATATATTTACAGTACTGTGCAAAAGTCAGCCTTCATTTATTTAATTTGCAAAATGGCCATAAGTACAGCTCTCATTTTCTCATTCAGCACCACACACACATACACACATTTATATAAAAAACAACCAAAATAATTACACAGAAGCCTCAACAACTAAATGTAATATAACATTTTTCATTATTTAGTGTGTCCAATCTGCCTTTATTACAGCTTCCACTTTTTTCAGGACACTCACTTTTCAGTTTTTCAAAGAAATCCGCAGGGAGATTTTTCCCCACTTCCAAAGTTCAGTCTTAGAAGTTGGTTGAATTTACTGCTTCACGTGATTCAAGTGATCCCGAACACCTTCAGTAATGTTGAGGTCTGGGCTCTGGGGTGGCCGTTACCAGCAGCTTTTTTGTTTGATTTGCACATTTTTGTCATTTTCTCAGCTTCTCACGGTGGAAAGATGGACAGAAACACCTGTTTTTTTATAGATCTGAAGCAGCTTTATTTTCTCCTCTCTCTTAAAGATGAAAGCATGAAGTGCTGTTTATCTGATGGGGGCAGTTTTGGTGGTCTGTGCGGTTGTTAGTAGTCGCATTTTAAATCATTTCTGGAAAATCTTTTTCTCTTCTTCGCTTTCGCTTTGCCCTCCTTCATGCAAGTGAAGTGCCTTATATCTAATCTCATCAGAACTGATGTGCTGGAAACTATTCATTTATACTTGATGGCCATTCTTACTGGAAATTAAGTAAATGAAGGGTGGTCAGATTTTTTTCTATGCATTATATTCACAAGTCTTTGATGAAAAGATTTTTCTGTCAGTTGCTATTTGAGGATGATTACAATAATTAGCATACCGCTTTGAATATTATAGGAAAAAATGATGTGTGTAAATGTATGTGATGTAGCTAATGTAGCTTGTATACTCATAAAAACCATATGATTCATTCTTTCATGCAGCAAAAGTTGGCACAGTTAATCAATGACTTAATCAATGACTTAATCGCTGATTTCTAAGTGAAGATAAGTCAACATCCCCTACAGAACACACTTCGCATTTTAATGCACAATTACTGTTTATTTGCTGAATTGAAAATATTGGAGAACAAAAAAATGTTAAACTCAGCAAATAAATAGAATTTTGCTCTGAGCTTGGCAGGTTTAAATTTGTTCCGTCAAACTTTTGCACTTGGCTATACATCGATCAGGCATAACATTATGACCACTTCCTGTTTCTACACTCATTGTCCATTTTATCAGCTCCACTTACTATATAGGTGCACTTTGTAGTTCTACAGTTACAGTAAATACAATTACCACTGAGTGGATCAGACACAGCAGTGCTGCTGGAGTTTTTAACACCTCAGTGTCACTGCTGGACTGAGAATAGTCCACCAACCAAAAATATCCAGCCAACAGCGTCCTTTCATTCTTGTTTCATCAGTCATTTCTTTCTTGTTTCATCTCCACTTCAGACTTCACCAAAGACCTCCTGTCCAGCTCCTGCGAGAAGTGTCTGTGCTCCATTCCTCCCCCCTAAAATCAGCGACCTACTGGACGACGAAGACCTTCTCTACTCTCTACGCCTGAAGCTGGACCCGACGCACTGCACTATCAAGAACTGGAAGAACTTTGCCAGCCGCTGGGGTATGAGCTACGACGAGCTAACGCTGCTGGAGCAGCGGACACACGGCTCCACGTACCACAGCCCCACGCAGGAATTCCTGCTCCGCTACAGCCAGAAACCCGTCACGGAGCTCACCAAACTCTGCCAGTTCTACCAGCGCATCGATGTACTGAGGCTGCTCCAGCAGTGGGTGGAGAATGACTGGCCTTCACGCTGGAGGAGGTCACATTAGCTGAGGTTCAACAAACGCGATGCCCGCACAGCTACTGAGAGAAGGACATATGGACATATGACTCTCTGTGACTACTGATGGCAGGAGGGAGGCGTATCAGGAACAGAACACATTCTAGTCCAATATGCTTCGGTCTTCCTGGATTTTGGCCCTCACTTTTGAACTGACTGCTCGTATTACATGATCTGAGTTTATGTCTTTTCCAAAGCATCCGTGCTTTGGCTACACGTAGGAGGATGTTTTTAACGGAAGTGTCTTAAAAGAAGCATTCTGTGCAAACTCTTCAATAATTTAATCAATAAAATTGGAGTAATTTAACCAACATTACCCAGGCACCCATCCATCTGTGCCAGACAAGTGAATAGTTTACTTTGCAGTGAGAACATACAGGCTGCTGTCTAGTAGAAAGCCAGTTATGGTAACGAAAAATAGGTTAAGTCCTCAAATGACAATGGGTAAAATATATTTTCCTTTCTTTGCATCCTCCATTTTTTGCTGCTGAGGTCTGAGATTTACACCCATTTCACAAAAGAACGACAGTCACTTCCTTATTCCAGAGGTTTTTTTAAAAATCATGACCTTGAATCAAGTTTCTGGTCCTGGATTTTGCAGTTGCAGTCAGTTCGGTTAACTACCAGTAATTACAAAATACAGGACCAGAAACTGGATTATAGTCTGGATTTGAAGGCCTATGCTGTAATGTGTTGGCTAAAATCCTCTAAACCTCATATTAACTGTGCAAAGAGGCTTCAGATACTAACCTCCCACTTAGCACTTGAAGGGGAAAGAGCTTTAGGTTATTTTCCACTTGGACACGTCACACAACCGACCATAATAAAGGTGACATTTAATAGCTTTATCTCATTTGTGTTATGAGAGTGTCATGTGACCGAAAATGATTGTCAAGACCAAGGCCGTCTGTAACACAAACATGTTTTTCAGTGTTTATTTGGAGGCTTAAAGGAGGCATTACTGAAGACCGTGTTTGAGCTATATACGAGTGTCCACTCAGTAACATTTCTTACAGTGTTTCAGTCGCTGTTCTGAACATATCATGATCAGTCAGAAGTTTAAGCTCTTCTCTTGCAATTTTTTCATAATGAATTGTGTATTTTAAAACAATGAGGGTCTAACTGGCACCAGACAGGAAAGTGTGTTCTACAAATAATAGTACATGACAGGGCTGCAAACATTAAAAATCTCAGTGATTTTAGAGATTTTTGACTTAATTTACTGAAACCTAGATTTGGAAGAAAATACAAACAGTATTTCCAGTTGAGTGAACTGCTAGAACATCATATTCCTTATCAGGACTGTGTGGGCGATTCAGCGCACAGTGATTGACGCTGTAGCCACTGCAACCTGTACAGACCCCCACAGCTGCCAGCTTTTTCCGTGTGTTAAGCTTTTATTTTCTGGCAGAGGTCTGAATTTGAATTTGTGTGAGATTTTAGATCATAAAGGCAACCAGCCAAAAAACTTAATTTACTTGCACACTCAGCTCAGTCACACTCAGCTGGGACAGTAGAGCAGTCGTTTCCAGTTCCACTGGTAGCCGGTCAAGGTCAACTAAAAGGTCTTTGGTTTGCGTGGGTGGAGCTGTGGAAAGAAGCATCAGCTGAAAAGCCTGTCCTAATTTTGATTGGTCAGAAGGATCACTTGCCAAGTGCCTTCTTTCAACGTTGTCCCACCCAACCGAGGAAACATAAATGACTAACATTGTTCTTGTCAGTGATACTTTTATTCATGATTCTAAAGCTAAAAGCATGAACAGATAGACAAAATAAGTTGACAGCCCCTTGAAATTAGACAGCCAAGTTTAAAGGCTGAAAAAATGAAATCTCTGAACAATTTGAACTGTACTATGTTCTCCTGAACTGATTATTGTTATATTGTATGACAGAATATGGAGTTATTACCCAACTTCATTCAGTGAAGCACTTAATATTTCCAGGAATCTTTATGCCTATTCTTGGCCTGTCTTGAGGATTCTGTATTCCAGTTACTTTAGTTCAGGTGTAAGCCTGACATTTAGTGGGAACTGCCGGTGGAACTACTGCCTTGTTTTACTCGAGAGCCAGTTTTGAAGAAGCACTGAACTGCTGATGGAAAGGAAAGTTGGCTTTCGCTGGGGATGCCCAAAGTAGACATTGGAGATCCCCAGACTAATCCATCTTCTTTTGTTTTCAGACTGATTTTCAAATGTCATTTACCTTCGTAGTCATATTGTATGGTTGCAAGGACAAGACTGTGGAGTATGTGTACGTCACACAGTGGTTGTGAGTGGGTGTGAGGGGGTGTGTGTGTGCTGGATATCTCTTCTGTTATCCATATTCATAAATAAATTAGTTGATGATGTAAAGCAATGAGTTGTCATTTAAAAACAGACATTATTTGACTTACAAATCAAATCAAGAACAGATCAATGAGATACTGCGGTTACCTCTGATGAGTACATTCAATTATTCATGGACCTTTTATGAAATTGAGCTTAGATGAATATACTAAATAAACCACAGTGAGTGATATTTTGAGTTTAAACAAATGGGTAAGCTGCATATTTTTATTTTTGCTCTGTGTTTTGTAACAAAATGCTAATACATAATGCTTAACAAGGTTAGAGAACACTTGTTTAGGGATCCTGGACCACTCCTCCATGCAACATTTACAGTTCCTTGATATTCTTGGGTCTTTGCTTGTGGACTGTCCTATTTTAAACACACCACAACTTGTCCATGAGGGTTCAGATCTTGAGACTAGCATCTGGAGTTTTGAGATCTGTGTTGATTTCAGCTTCAAGTGCCTTCGCTTTTGGAGTAGATACACCAAATTTGGGTTTTTTGAAAGTGAGCAAGTTTTATCTTGCAGGCGCCATCGCAAAACGTTGGTTCTGTGTTCCAGCAACCATTTTTGTCTGGATTTTGATGTGTGTTTGGGGTCATTATCTTGCTGAAAGGTCCACACATGGCCAAGTGTCAGCATTCTGGCAGAGACGGATTTTAAAATCTCCAGGAATTTAATTGAATTTCTAATGCCATTGATTTTTTACAAGAGTTCCTGGACCACTTGCAGCAAAACAACTACGGACTACTCATTTTTTAATATCCGTTTCCTAATCCATGTCCACAGCTCTTTGGCCTTATGCTAAAAGATGACAAAAGGATTTTACATGCAACCTCATATTTATATGAAAGTGTAACAGGAAGTCATTATAGACAACAATAGAGTTCCTACAGGAGCGAAAAAAAGATTTTTTTTTCCTCGAAGATGCAAATTTTCTTAAAAATATTCTTTAGGGATGCCAATCAGTTTGCTCCATATGTTTTTGGAAAGAATACATTAAATAACAACACTCTTGGAATGATTTGATGTAGATGAATGGTAAGCAATTGCTCCGAACATTTTTGAAGAACATTTGATCATAATTTGTGTTGTTTCTTTGTAAGATTGTTCAGCCCAGTTCTTTTTGAGGGGTACTAATAGCTCTGGAGCTGACTGTACATAATGAATTAGTGCATTCGAGTTTCAAGTGTGGATTTTTACCATTTTCCCCCCAATTTAGGTATGTTCACCTCCTCCTATTATCTAGGTGTATGCCTCCAAGGTGAGGGCCTGTACGTGCATCACTGGGCAGCTAAACACGCTAGGAGGAGAACACTGATTGCCAAGTGTGTGATGAGGAGAAGGGGGACCATCCCACCCACCCAAAGAGAGCAAGGCCAATTATGCTCCCTTGGAATCCCGGCTACACATGGCTGTGGCATCACCGGGGATCAAACTTGTGATGCCCCAACCACAGGACCAACGCTTAGATGGGTGCACCCTGCATCACGCCAATAATAATAACAATCCTGTTAAGTGTGAAAAAATGGAAAAGGTCTCCAACTGCTGCATAAAAAATGACGTTTATTAGAAAAAATATATAGCAGTGTTTATGGAAATTTTATACAGTTATAGAATATTTGGTCAAAGACTTGAAACAGAGACTTTTTTATAGTGTAATTAATTGGGCATCATAGTTTTCCATTAGCAACAATACTGATGAATACATGGAAGGAACATATAAATTTATAAAAACATTATATATTAGACATAGACAGTGCACAGACAAAAGAGATATTCAAAATGAAAGGTACGTTTCCTTCATATTATTAATCTGGTAAAAATATTATGCTGTGATTGCCATAAACTTTGACACAAACCTGATAGAATGTTTTACAGACTTTTTACAAAATAATTACAGGTTGCAGAATGCTATCCCACTTCTTTAAACTCCACCCAAGAGCGTTCACAATTTTGTTTATTTTTATTTTTCTATATAATTTATCTAATCGAATTCTCTAAAAGTAGACAGTGTGACATGAACAGAAGCATTGTCTTAAATTACATCACACTGTCGTCAATGTCAATAATATCTTTTTCGTAGGTCTAGACTTTACAGAAAATCAGCCTTAATAATACATCAGACAGTAAAAAATGGTTTTGGAATTGCATCCTGTTGTTACATAAACTTAATCGTCGTCAGATTTGGTGGGCAAACCGAGCATGTTGTTAAGACTCAGAGACAGTTTATCTTCTTCACTAGTTGAGTTAATGACTGGATGATTCTTGCCAGCTTCAGGAGTCGTTACTTTGAACGTTCCACTTCTCATTTTTGTAGGACTGTCTGGACCTGAGGATGTCCCGACTTCAAGGCTTGCTGTCGAGTCTGAGGCATCCATTGAAGGAGCAGTCAGATCATTCATGGAGCGTGCTGCAAACATTCTCAGTCTTTCTTTGATGTCTACTGTCTTTGTCTGTCCATTCTCAACAGAAGATGCAGGGGTCGTTTTCACTTCTACCTTAGGGGCTGAGGTCTCCGTCAGTGCCTTGATGGGATCGCTGCTCAAGTCAACAGCCCCAGAAATTTCCTGTATGATGTTTTCAATGTTGTTGCTGGGCAGTCTGTGCGTCTTAAACACTGGTACATTTTTTGGAAGTGCCACGGTTGCATCTGCACTGACCTCTCCAGCATCAACCTTTGGTGCATCTGGAGTATCTGCAATTGCACCCTTTGGTCCGTCCTTTGATTTTCTGAAGGGCCATTTGAATTTACTCTTGGGAGCATCAACGTTAACATTGACGTCTGGAGATCCCACATCAACCTCAGCTTGGGGCAAACTCAAATCAGGCTTGGGTGTCTCAACTTTGGGGGCAGACATGCTCACATCAGGTCCTTGTACGTTAGCATCAACTTTAACATCAGGAGATTTCACTTTTGGGCCAGAAAATTGGAATTTTTTAAGGGTTGGAAATTTTATCTTTCCTTTCGGAGCCTCTACATCAACTTCTGGGGAGCTCAAATCGACCTCAGGACCTTTGAGGTCAGCTTTAGGCAAACTTAAATCAACATTTGGAGCTTTAACATCTGCCTTTACTGCCGGGGCTGAGAGATTAACATCTGGAGTTTTGAGATCTGCGTTGATTTCAGCTTCAGGTGCCTTCACTTTTGGAGTAGATACACCAAATATGGGTTTTTTCAAAGTGAGGAGTTTCATCTTTCCTCTGGGAGTTTCTATTTCAGGAGTCTTGACATCAACATCAGGGACATTAACTTCAGCTTTGGGCAGTTTCACATCAACGTCAGGGACGCTGACTTCAGCTTTGGGAAGACTTAAGTCAACGTCTGGTGAATTTATTTCTCCCTCAATCTTAGGGATAGAAACATCCAAATTTCCTTTGGCATCCAGTTTAGGCTCTTTAACTTTTGGCCCAGCGAGGCCAAATTTAGGCATCTTGAAGTGTGGCAACTTTGCTTTTCCAGAAGGCACATCAATGTCGGCATCTGGGACTTTTAGATCTACATCAGGGCCCTGAATGTTTCCTTTTGGCAAGCTCACATCTACATTTGGGGCAGAGAGATTGAGATCTGGTGTCTTTGCATCAATGTTAACTTGTGGAGCATTCAGATCAGCCTTGGGTAAATCTAAATCTACAGCCGGAGCAGCAACATAGCCCTCAATTTTGGGAACGGAGAGATCCAGGTCAGGTGATTTTAGGTTAAGATCAGGTCCTTTGACATCTGCCTTTAGATCTGCACCAGCATCCACCTTTGGGCCTTTGACTTTTGGTGTAGAGAGATTCAATTTGGGCATTTTGAAGTGTGGCATCTTCATTTTTCCAGATGGTGCATTAACATCAACATCTGGGACTTTTAGATCCACATCAGGACCCTTGATATCTGCCTCTGGTAGGCTCAAGTCTACATTTGGGGCAGAGAGGTTGAGATCTGGTGTTTTTGCATCAAGGTTAAGACGAGGAGCTTTCAGGTCAGCTTTGGGCAAATCTACATCTACACCTGGAGCAGTAATTGAACCCTCCACCTTTGGCACGGAGGCATTGAGTTCAGGTGCTTTAAGGTCAAGGTCAGGCCCTTTGAGATCTGTGGTGGGTAATTTTACATCTACAGCTGGTGTTTGCAGATTTGCATCAAGTTTTGGTTCTTTCACTTGTGGTCCAGAGAGACCAAATTTGGGCATCTTAAAATGAGGCATCTTTACTTTTCCAGATGGGGTATCAACATTTGGAGTTGTAAGGTTTACGTCTGGCGCTTTGAGATCAGCACTGGGGAGATCTACATTGACGGAGGGTGCACTGAGATCTCCTTTAAGTTTAGGTGCTGAGAGGTTTAGGTCTGGTGTTTGGACATTTAATTCAGGTCCTTTGAGATCTGCTTTGGGTAACTTCACTGTGGGTGCGCTGACTTCCCCCTCAAGTTTTGGAATATCAGGGACTGAGACATCAATGTCAGGGGTGTTAAGATTACCATCAAGATTTACATCTGGCCCTTTCACTTTTGACCGTGAGATATTTAGTTTGGGCAGCTTTAATTTGCCGGATGGGGCCTTCAGGTCTGCATCTGGAACTTTGATGTCAAGGTCCGGTGCAGCAATATCACCGTCTACTTTTGGTGCAGAGAGTTTGACGTCTGGTGCCTTGACATCTAGGTTTGGCACATCAAGTTCAGCTTTGGGCAGGTTCACGTCTACACCAGGAGATGAGACATTTAAATCTGGTGACTTTATGTCTGCATCAAGACCTGGCCCTTCCATCTTTGGTTTATGTAGGTTTAACTTTGGTAGCTTGACAGTAGGGAACTTGTGTTTCCCAGATGGAGCATTAACGTTTACTTTTGGGAGCTTTCAGATCAACATCTGGAGTTCCTATCTCTGCCTTGGGTAAACTCAGATCTACGTTTGCTGCTGGTACATCTAAATTAACATTTGGTGCACTGATGTCTGCGTCCACTTTGGGGCCAGATAGATTCAGGTCTGGACTTTTCACGTCTGTATCAATGTCCACAGATGGTCCTTTCAGTGTTCCTTTTGGTTTCTTGAATTTGGGCCATTTAATTTTACCGGAGGGAGCATTGACATCAAGATTTGGTGTGTCAATGTCTACGTCAGGGCTGCTGAGCTTAGCATTAGGTAAAGCTACATTAACATCTGGGGACTTGACGTCAGCTTTGAGATCTGGTAGAGAGAGGTCAGCTTCTGGTGTCTTGATGTTTGCATCAACATTTGGAGTCTTTACCTTAGGCTTTGAGATACCCCATTTGGGCTTATGTACTTTAAATTTTCCAGAGGGAGCCTCAACATCAACGTCAGGGATGTCTGCCTTCAGGTTTGGGCCTTTTACTTCCGCTTTGGGCAAATTCACATCGACGTCTGGTGCTTTGAGATCTCCATCAACCTTTGGGACTGACAGACTAAAATCTGGGGATTGTAGATCTGCTTTTAACTCTGGAGTAGTCACTTCCAGACCCCCATCTACTTTTGCTTTTTTAGAAGGAGAACGGAAGTTTGGCATCTTAAACTTAGGTGCCTTATACTTCACATCTGGCTTCTTAACCTCTGCTGAGACATCTGGAGAGTTCAGTGTTGGAGAAGAGACACTGACACTGGGGGTTGGGATGGTGCCATCTAGATTCGCACCTTGAAGTTTAGGCCCAGACAAGCCGACAGTTGGCATTGTGAACTTGCCACCCTCCCCCACAGTCGCGTCAGGTAGAGAGCCCTTTAACTTGATCTGTGGGATTTCTCCATTGACTGGTGGAGCTGTGAGGTCACCCATGATATTCGGGGAGTTTAACTTTCCATTCAGCCCACGGACTTCAACTGATGGCACTTGAAGGTTTGGATCTGCAAGCTTTGGAGTTTCACCCTTCAAGAGAAGATCACCAAGTTTCTAAGGGGAGGAAACAAGAAAGAGCATATGGCATGAAAATGACATGAGGTGGGTATAAAGTGAAATTGAATATTTTGCAACATGCTTTTGATATATGCAAAAATCTCATATAACCAGCACAGCCTGTAAGTAACTAGATGGTGACACAATTTTGCTGTTTTGGGTTGGCAACTACAACACATTAGATTTGACATTTAATGATACATAGGAGATTACACTGCAGAATGTCAGCTTTAAATCAATGCCATTTATAATATTTGCATTGTGACATATTTATCCAATATGTGTTTGTATGAGGTAGCGAGTCATTGAGGAGTTTCTGGTTAGACACACTGCCTTTTTGCATTGTCTCTGTTAAGATGTTGCTTACCATTTTGGTGTTTAGACCTCCTTTGGTCTTAATTTCGAGGTTCTCATCGTAAGGCTGAATGATCTTGAGTAATTTCAGCACATCTTCTTTGCCAAGGTGGTCTAAGTGAATCGTGGCAGCAACAATCTTATCTTCATCTAGTGAATGTAAATGAATGCTCAGTGAGGTCATCGTAACACTTCTTTGCAAAATGTGTACAAAAGTAAAACGTGGTATACTGTAAATACACTGAACTGTATTTCAGTGTTCAAAATGAACCACGTGTTTAGGATCAGGTCTAAACTTGATTCTTACCCCCTTTTACACTGATTCCAGAACCTTTAATTCCGACATCCAACACGGGTCCTTTCCCTGTGCTCTCCAAGACCTTATTGTCTGAGGAGACTGAACTCTCGATTTCCCCATTCTGAATGATCATGAACACAAAGTAGAATTAAAAGCCACTTAGAACTTTTTTTTATTACTATATTTGTATTCACTCATTGAAAGTTAACTAGTCATAAATCATTTACGTATAAAAGAATGAGTTTAATTAAATGAATTGCATTTTCTCCTTACCATCGTCTTTTATTTCTGTTTACTGCAGCATATCGCAAAAGAGGGGTCCTTAGAAAATCTGTCAAAACAAAGAAGAACATTTTTTAATTATGTTTCAATCATTAAGGTTTGAGAGTCACCCTGGAATGCCATTGGCAAAGAGGATCACTTAGTTCCTGGCCCTCAGGCCTAAGCACAAGTTTTCTCAACACCGACCCTTCCTCCAAACCTAGGTGCAGTCTATTAAAGGATAAAACACTTCTACCACCAACACCTATTGAAATGAGTAAGCACATATAGAGGGTGTTCTAGCATCTATCATCTAATGTACAAAAGAGAGAGTAGTGTGGGTTAAAGAGGCTACTTCATTGTAGAGTGGACAGGTTTGCTGAGAGTTTCTAATGGATCACACAAAAAAAAAAATCATCCATTTTTTATTGATTCTCAACATAAATTTTCCTAATTTTTGCCTCTTTTTAACCTTTTTTTCATCACTTTTACACATTAGTGTAAATGTGAGTGAGTTAATGAGGTCTAAGAGTAGTTTCACAAGTGAAAATATGAATGTTAAAATAACAGAACTTGCTTGTTTGAAATGAATTATTATAAATACCAAGAATGGATCAGTTGTAAAGCCCAATTTAGATCTTTTTTTTTCTGTATCATGTTCTGTACATCATACATGTTGGGCTTAGCAATTCTCCTCTGAGCACACTGAGACATTCTATAATGGCTTGAGAAAATATATATGGTTCCTGACGCACAAAAAATGTAAACTGACTTCATTTTTTAATTTATTTTTTATTTGAAAGATCCAGGTATCTTTTACATTGTGATCAAATCTCATGATAAACAGGCCAATAGAAATGGCCTAAAATACTTGGAAATGTAAAAAAACATCTTTTTATATTAACTTCCATTAAGAAGTTACTATTTTGGACAGACAACAGCAACATGCTATGCTTCAAATGGAACAGCCAGCTACTCCACTTGTAACAGTTGTAAATGTTCTGAAGTGATTGAGGTACCAAGCTTTAGGGAATACAATGGAAATAAAATCAACCTTGTCATCACACATTGTGTCCCCACAACACGTTGTCTCCAGACACTGACGTAAATATCAACAGAAGGAATCCCCTTTTAGCTTCATTACAGACAGAGTACACGGAACCCGCGATCTTCTTCTACCATAAATGGACATGGAACTGCATTGTGTCATCTGCGTTTGTGGTCTCTCTGACTAGCGTTGTATGTAAGAGTACCTGGGTGCCCCCCGCTCACCCCGCCGAAGCATGAAACAAAAGCAGTCAGTGTACAGAACATTTCAAAATAGAATCTCGCTCACATCATATGAAATGAGCATTGCTTTGTTGTTAGTTCTGATGACTTCAGCTCAACACATCTGAATCTCAGTTACTCAAAGGAGAACTAACTCATGGTTCTTAAGAAGAGAAGGAAGCACTAGCGATATAAGTAGAGTCTGTAGTGGGAGGACAGAATGACTGTTGTTTAGTTGATCATGACAGTGGTAGGAAGACAAGCCCAACTGCTTACCACACATGTAACTATATACATGATATAGCCACAAGGTAATATATGGTGGACCCCAAAAGCCTAAGACCACTAAACCCATTACAAATTCGAAGCTAACAATTTCAATGAAAAGAAGAATCTTTGAAATCTGAACATGAAGGTCAGAATTTCTCAGTATTTGGTGCAGCTTTAACGACAGTGTGCACTCGAGCTGGCATGAACGCAGGTTTGTGCAAAAGCCTCTGATGAGTAGCGCAAATCCTCTTGAGAGTCGTCTGAACATGAGCTTCACTGAAAGAGGGAAGACTAAAAAAAAAGATCTGTGACACAAACTGGCGTAAATTTGAATAGAGACCTAGAAACAGTGCTGGATGTCTTGAATATTTCTTTATTTTACTCAAAACTTTTCTCTGTTTTTAAATTTTCAGAATTCTAAAATGTTCTGCTGTTTATTTCCAAGTTTAATTTTTTAGATTTTCAATGTGGTCTCAGACTTTTCAACCCCACCATATATATATATATATATATATGTATAATCACTCTCAGAACAAAACCATGTTTGTTTTTAAATTTTTGACAAAAATTAGAAAATACCAGCTGCCCTTTTCGTTGAATTACAATTTCAAGATGAATTTTTTTTCCTTCTGAAAAATTACCATTTTGGTAGCATCAAAATTCCTTAAACTCCAGCTGCCTTTTATGCTTTATGAAAATTTCTTAATGAACTGACCAACAGAAATGGCCAATCTAAAATTGCTTGGAAAAAACCTTTTTATTGTAATGAAAAGTTAAGTATTTTCATTGTCCTGTAAAGTTAATATTTGGAGATATGAGGTTTCGGTCGAACGACTACAATATACAATTGTATGCAAAAGTTTGGGCACTCCTCAAGTCACATGTTGTTGACATTACATTATTTGTGAAAAATTACAGTGTATAATATTGATAAGGGAAATCTATAAAGTGAAGACTTTTGGCCCTTTTTCATACAACTATATATATATATATATATATATATATATATATATATATATATATATATATAGGTATATAAACAAATTTAATTGATTTTCTATGTAAAGGATGATTAAACTAATATTCTTGCAATTGTTATCATAAAAAACTCAGAAATTCTTTCTAGGAGATGGTAAAATCTCCTTATATTTACTGGATGATTATTGTTATAAGATCGCATTGCAATTAATTTGGACCGTTTCTATCTGTCCATTCATCATGACGTTCACAGGATATGAAGTGCGGCTGGTGTTTTCACAAAGGAAAATTAGGTTTTCTTATAATAGCAAAGAGACGAAACAGGGATGCTGTAAAAGCATAACAGTCAACATCCATCATTACTGTGATTATAGTTGCAAAGAAATCCATTTTGTAATTTTTGTCAACTCATGTTGACTCATCAAACAGGCCTGTATGAATATGAATAAGTATCTGAGTCTCCCAAGAATAGCAAACAACACTCTGGGTTTTCTGTTTGGTTAACCAAAAAAAGATTACTGGTCAGTTAGCATGGCACTGTGCTGGAACAACCACAAACACGGTGTTCCTTAACGCAGGTACTCTTTAGGTTTTTTCCCTTAACTGCAGTAGGTGTTACCACATTTAACACCTTGACAAATTACTCATATCACTAATATCACACTCTCTAGTAGCCTAATGTTCAATTCACTGAAGCATCTCTTCAACAGAGATCTATGTCCCTTTAGGTTAGCTGGAGGTTTATGTCCCTTTAAGTTAGCTAGACTTCTGTGTCCCTTTAGGTTAGCTGGAGGTTTATGTCCCTTTAAGTTAGCTAGACTTCTGTGTCCCTTTAGGTTAGCTGGAGGTTTATGTCCCTTTAAGTTAGCTAGAGGTCAATGTCCCTTTAGGTTAGCTACAGTTCTGTGTCCCTTTAGGTTAGCTAGAGGTCAATGTCCCTTTAGGTTAGCTACAGTTCTGTGTCCCTTTAGGTTAGCTAGAGGTCAATGTCCCTTTAATTTAGCTAGAGGTCTATGTCCCTTTAGTTTAGCTGGAGGTCTTTGCCCCTTTAGGTTAGCTAGAGATTTTTGGCCCCTTAGGTTAGCTAGAGATCTATTTTCCTTTAGGCTAGCTAGAGATCTATTTTCCTTTAGGCTAGCTAGAGGCCTTTGTCCATTTAGTTTAGCTACAGGTCTGTGTCCCTTTAGTCTAGTTAGACACCTATGCCTCTTTAGTTTAGCTAAAGACTCATTTCCGTTTAGTTTATATAGAAGCCTATGTCCCTTTAGTCTGTCCCTTTAGTCTAGCTAGAGGTCTGTGCTAATAATCCAGACCTTGCTGCTGAACAGTGCTGGGAACAGCCTACTGAGATGGCTGAGGTATCCCTCCATTGAATTATAAGCATATCCGCATTAGAAATAAAAACATTCATTAAACCCTCAGCATCGTATCTTTTAAAACAGTAATTATGTGTGCGTGTGTTAGCGCCAGACCAGCTCATGCCAGTGGAATGACAGGCATGGTGCTGAGTTCGAGATGAATGCGCAAAACCTGTCTGTTCGGATGAGTTGAAGTCGACATGCTGCGTACCAGGCCCTGCTGCATACCTCTGTCTCTCTCTCTCTCTCCCTCTCTCTCTCTCTCTCTCTCTCTCTCTCAAACACACCTCACATTCACACCTTTCTTCACCTCGTCTTTAGCCACACCAAGCACTGTTCCTAACCATATGCATGAGCTTATCTGCATTAGAACCGAAAAGGTGTGGTTGGTACGCTAATACCAGCTTGATAATGGTCAATAACACCAAAACCAGTGTACCATTAATGCACCCCTTTGGTATCATGTTTTTTATAAAGGGTTGGAGGCTTAAAATAAATTCAGAATTCATCTTTTTCCACGACTGCAAGGCCTGCCGTCTTCACAGTTCGAAGGAATAGACTGCATTTCATGCCAAAACGTGAATCGTTTGACTTACAGACTAAAATATTCTGACATTAATGACATTAATAGCAATTGCATTTCCAGATAAGCCCATGTATGTCCACCCTTTCTCTATGTGACTGAATGGAAATGTGGTGTGTAATTAAATTGATATATTTATTATTTTTTTAAGTGTAATGCAAGAACAAATCCTTTCACATGACTGTAGCAACAACACTGCACGACCACACCCACTTAACACACATGTCCAACACTCCGGTACTGGTTGGCACTAGTCTTAGACTAGGTCTCAACACTCCTTTACTGGATAGGCCTACATAACTATCTTCTGGACACCGCAAACATCTTGATGCTATTTTCTACTAAGGCAGATACCTTATAGGGGAATTCCACAGAGTTCTGAAGTGAAATGCTCGGTTCTAGAGAAACTTACCGAAATAGAATTGTTCCAAGTGGTGGTGATAGGAACCAGATGTCTTACAGAAAGTTTTTCTTTAACGAAATGGCTCCATATACATTGCTTGAGGCCTGAGATATTGTTTCATGATAGTTTAGAGATAAGGATTTGTCCTAAAATCATCGACCTCTACCACTATTTTACCATTATCAACATTATATACAAATACTCAGAAGGCGTGTCTGGGTTCAGTGGCCTTTTTTGGGTGAATAAAATGGCTATATTTGATTTAAAGACCACTGGTTCTTATTACCACCATTATAAATTAATCCAAGACTTTACATCTTAATAATTGAATTATGCAGAAATAGTGAAAAATCATTCCCCTTTAAGTTACACTTCTCCTTACAGTTACAGGATGTTATTACGGCTGAATTTTGATCATTTCTTTTTATTTTCTTTAATTATTATAATTAATTATACAAGCTATAAGTTTCCCAGTTAGCTATGATGGACCCTCCTGAGCGCTTGATATAGCAAGGCACATTTCTATAAAGCCACCTAGTTGAAATGCACTGAATATGAATGTCAGCAAGCCACACGTTTCTGTACCAGCAGTTGAATGAACATTTCTGAATGTTGTAAATGCAGCAAAACATGAAGCTCATGGCACAACCACTGTAGAAACTGCAAAGAAATCGAATGAGCGTAGACAATTCCGAAGCTGCCATTTGTGACACTCAATTCCCGACATCTTTGCACTCAATTCAATTCAACACTCAATTCAACACTTAATTTCCAAAAATTTAGCAAGGAAAACAACAAACTTTACTTTAACTACATCCAGAATTACTGTACAACAACAAAACAGCGCCACACCAAACACCATCATAATCCTCACAATTGTCACCGAGCCACACCTTGCCAGGGAACACATGCTCAGCCTAAGCATGCAGTGTACTTTGAACAACTTACACAACAAAATTTTCATTTTTCTGTCCATACACTGTTTGAAATAAAGGTTCTGTTCAGGTACATTTTTGTTCATCAAGGTACAAGCAATGTAAATGTTCCCTCAAAGGTACAACAGTGGTTTTAAGGCCCAACTGAGAACCTTACATCATTTTTTCCAGGTGAAAAGTTCGTATTTGTACCTTTTCATAACCGAATGCTTTAAAACAGAACAATAAAATAAAAGCCTGGAGACGAGACGGGGTGTGTGGAGTCAGTACAGCTTAGAACATATCATTGTGGTACAGTTATGTTCCCTGACTAAAGGTACTGAGATGGACCCATGAGGGTCCCACCCCAGTGACAAGAGGCGAACTGCCCCAGTGACAGTTTAGTACCCTTATTTCTGAGAGTGTATTCTAAGAAGTATCCGTTCAGATCATATCCTTTGATGTAATATTTTACTTTTGCTGCTATGTAAGTGGGTCTTACCTGAAGATGCTGATGTAAGGGGTCCAACGCTGAGATGCAGGTGCAGATGTTGACTCCTCTAAACTCTGACTAAATCTGATACCTTTGCTCACTTGGGCAGGTATAGAGCTCCTGACAGATATGCGTAAAGTGACCAACCAAACAGGTTCTGCAGCAGAGCAACCCGCCTCCCAGCCCAACACAACCTGACAACCAGGGCACCGAAACCTGAGAGAGGGAGAGAGAGATAGAGAAGAGAGAGAGAGAGAGAGAGAGACTCTAACAGGCTTTACAAGGTTTCCAACATGACTTATGCTCTTGCCACTTAGCAACACTTGTTCAAGTAAAGTGTGTACGGATATAATAACAAGGCCGTGACGCTGTCCGCTACCACAGGGATGCCCAAAGTGGCAAAAGTTGGCATTCGATTTGATCCCTCAGCTAATTATCCATAAGCTAATGAAAAAAACATGTATTTTTACCCATAAGGAAGCCTGATGGATGGTTATATATACCATATACCATAAAACGTCAGGCATATTTCAAAATATATGTAAATATATGTTGTTATTTCATGTTCGAATGATATTGCATAGCTTATAATGTGCACATTTGTAGAGTTTAGTTATACAGCAACAAAAAAGATGTATAAAACCCTTATATTATGTAACATAAAGTTAGCATATATGAGTAATATGGCATACATCTATATCTATATGTGAATAATGTTTTGTATATATTGATATATGGCTAAAATATATGTCCCGTATCTAATAATGGGAGTTGCGAATAAGCTAGCTAGCATTTATGTCCATATGTGACTAATATAAGTTGAATATATAAGGGAAATCCATACATGCTAATATATATACCTATATATTTTCATATGTTCTGTGTGCATATATAACTTCTTAGGTAATTTTAGTGACAAAACATTATAATGTAATCTTTATACATCTTTATACTTTATACATATATATATATATATATATATATATATATATATATATATATAAATCTAATACAACAACACACATGTAGCTAACAGTTTCAAGTTAATACAGCATAGCAGGCGGTGAAACACGGACAAGAGGAGATTTTGAGACCACCGGGGTGAAGAAAATCTTTACTGAAATAAAAAGCCAGGCAGTGTATCTCACAGGTGGGTAAAATATTGCAGCATTTAAAGAATATACACCAAGAAATACATACCAGCAACGTTAAAGAATGAAAAGCTAACGAATTGCTAGCTAGCTGTTTTGTCTATGACCCTCAACACTGACTGAAACACAGATGTAACAACACACATGCAGCTAGTACTTACAAGCTAACAGAGTATAGCAGGTGATAGTAAATCACTGCTGACGGAAGAAATGGTAACTTTACAGGAGAAGGAAAAAACCTACTTTACTTTTAATGTAAGTCAATGGAACCAGAGGTTTTTCTGAGTAATTTTGGGCCGTTTTTTTTGGGTCCATTCTTCGTGACATTTATATACAATGTGAAGAGCAACAGGCTTTTTCAGAATATGCCAAAAACTGAAAAATGACAAAAATGGAGATACAAGGTTTTTTTCCCACAGCAGCGACATGGACATGAGAAGATTTAGAGAACTTCAGTGTGAAGAATATCTTTTCACTGAATTTAAAAGCAAGACAGTGTATCTCACAGGTAAGTATGTACACATACAAATACTGCTAATATGCTAACACGTAAAGCTAATGAATGGCTAGCTAGCTGTTTTGGTCCACCTCAAGTATTGACTTAGCATATAAAACACCCTATATCTGGACATGGATCCTACCTTATGTGTCATATTGGTTTAAAGTTGTCCAGAAAGACTGAGAGTCTGGCATCCCTAAACATTTGATTAAATGGAATTGGGTTAATGTACGTTAATGCTAATTAACAGCTCATTTTGGCTTGGCTACATACACCATATGATCAAAAGTTTATAGACACTTGCTCATTTGTTTGCTACTGAAATCAAAGGTATTACTAGGGAATAGCTGCAGTAACAGCCTCTACTCTTCTGTGATGGCTTTGCACTACATGTTGGAACTGCTGAGAGGATTTAAGGTCAGGTTCTGATGTTGGAAGATTAGTTCTGGATCACAAACACCTTAAAATTATTGAATGGAGCTCCATCATTCCAGAGAACGCAGTTCAACTGCTCCACAGCCCAATGCTGGGGAGGCTTTACACCCCTCTAGCCGACACTTGGCATTGGGTATGGTGACTTTGTGGCTGCTTCAGAAAGAACAGTGTGGTCAGTGTTTCAGACAGTAAGTTTTAGACACAAAATGGCCAGTAACATCAAGCAACAGCCAATCTCTCAGCTTTTGTCAACCTGAACTGTCCTCTGCTGAGGAGTTCGGAGGAATGACAATGAATGTGCAACAATTAAAGTATGTAAGGAATGTACAAGGATGATGAAAGCAGAGAATGTTTTATCAGCCTGTAGAATTGTATTCAGGCGAGGGCCAGTTTCTATACACATATTAGTCACAGGTTGGGCTAAATTGCAGCGTCATTGAGGATTTTTTATTAGAAACCTGATTTAGGAACAGCCATATTCTGTAAACTACCTAATATACTCAGCTAAATAATGTAAAAAATTGCTTAAGACTTGATTTCATCTATTAAAGCCTGAACACATGGAGATGTCTCGTACAAACTGAACAACAATCAATCTGCTCAACCAGATAAAAGACAAGGAAAAAGTCAAAAGAATATTAAGTTCTGGATCATTCAAATTCCCAAAAAATCTGTTTCTGTCTACAATGTATCATCATTATTGTTTTTGAAATGCCCACTTTTCCTAGCAGTTTTTTTGCCAAACACCAAAGCCAGACACATAAAAATCGGAAGTGTCCAGGTCTTCATGTGTCAGCTCACTTGGAATGCCTTTTCCATGGAGAGTATGGAGAGTGAGAGAGAGCTAGATGGGCAAACAGATGAATAGAGAGGATGAGAATGCAGTACGGTGACTGTGTTCGGGCCACAACATTGGCCAACAGTGAGCACAAAGCCAGGCCTAAAGCATGTAGATCAAGCTGTAGTGCTGGAGGTTAAGGAGTACGTGACTGGTGAAGACAAGGTTTAAAGAGAACAGAATACTGTCACGTAAAGCACAGCACAGAATATATATATATACACATATATATCTCCAAAATGGTATCTTTACAGGAGAAGGAAAAAACCTGCTTCACTTTTACTGTAAGTCTGTAAGTCAATGGAACCAGACTTTTTTCCAAATAATTTTTTTCCATTTCTTTTTGTCCATTCATCATAAAAGTTACACACAATGTAAAGGACAACAGGCATTTTCAAATCATGTCAAAAACTGAAGAACGACAGACATGGAGATACAAGGTTTTCTTCTGACAACAGTGATATATAAAACGTATAAAATATATAAAATGATAACTTTACAGGAGAAGGAAAAAACCTACTTTACTTCTAATGTAAGTCAATGGAACCAGACTTTTTTCAAAGTCATTTTAGGTCATTTCTTTTGGTCCATTCATTATGAAATTTGCATACAAGGTAAAGGGCAACAGGTAGTTCCAAATTATGTCAAAAACTGAAAAACATCAAAAAATATGAGGTTTTCTTCCAACAACGGCGATATGTATCACAGTAGTTATAGTAGTTGCCAAAGTTTGCACCCAAATATCACCTTAGGAATCAATAAAGTGTATGTATGAATGCCTATCTATCTATCTATCTATCTATCTATCTATCTATCTATCTATCAAGCATTTACCACCAGATCAATAATAGAAGTAATAATAATTGAGTCTTGCTTAGGATCTACTTTAACTCCAAATCAATAATAATCTAGATAGACTCTTCTTTAAGTCATGTCTTGGACTATGACCTAAACTGCCCTGTCAGTTGGGCCTCTTCATTGAAACTTCACTTGATGTGAAGTTACATTTGTGAATGTGCCGTAACTTATTAATGAACTAAAGCATTACAGCTAATTTTCTCATCGAAACTTGCTGAGTTTCTAGGTCTTTTATCAGCGGTGAGTAGAGTAGCCTAAACCAATACTCAAGTAAAGGCAACTTCTGTGAAATAGAAGTTAAAGTAGATTAGAAAGAAAACAACTTCAGTCAAAGTAAAAAGTAATATATTAAAAATATATAAAACAATAAAAAACTTAAACTGCTGCGTTTCCTGTTGACACTGCAGCAGAACTTCATGGTACCTCCAGCATCTATTAGAATAGGAGCTGAAGTTTGTTGTGCTATTCTTCTCTTTTTGGGACTCTTTTGGTCTAAAATGTAATGGTCAGGGTCAATTCTGAACATTTGGGCACCCTAATCATTTTCTTTTGATTGCAAGGTTAGAACAAGAATTAATACTTAATCCATCTTGATAAAGGTATGTAATAGGACTGCTTATACCACTTACAGATAGAAGTGGTCTTCCAGGTGCTGGACCACCCGAATCAAATCATATTAAACAAAATAAAGAGGATTAATAACTTACTGTAAATAGATCAATCAATCAAGTGTAAATACAAGTATTATCATTTGAAAACACTCACAGAAGTGCTAATCTATCGACACTTTGCTCAGGTACATGTATCGGAGTAAATCGCTGTTGTCGGAAGAAAACCTCGTATCTCCAGAATGGTAACTTTACAGGAGAAGGAAAAAACATACTTTACTTTTAATGTAAGTCAATGGAACCAGACTTTTTTCCAAGTCATTTTGGGCTGTTTCTTTTGATCCAATCCTCGTGAAATGTACACACAATGTAAAGGGCAACATGCATTTTCAAATTATGTCAAAAACTGAAAAACGTCAAAAACGGAGATACAAGGTTTTCTTCCGACAGCAGCGAAATGTGGCTGAGTTTTACATCAATGACATCAATGATGTCATTCTTTAGTAGATCAAATATACTTTCATAGTAAACGCAAAAGCTCTGAGTAATCAGAGTACGTTTTCCGGCTCCCCGTGTTGGTGGGTTCTTGAAAGGGGTGGTCATGACTGAGCATGTCATTTTACGAGTCGTACCACAGCTCTCTTTCTTCTTGACTGCAGTGTCTGTTCAGTGAGAGTAAAGACTGAGACACTGTGATTGTATGTTTTGAGCTCTGAGAACTGTGTTTCCAAGGATTCGCCTCTATGCAGTCGAGTTTCTCCACCTCCCTCCGCC